ACACACACACACACACACACACACACACTGCCTGAGAGCCAGTGCTTGGAGCCATATCCTCTGCCTCACCTTGTCTCACTCTTGGCACAGTACTGTAAGAGTCTGGTTTTAGAGTTTTAAAACCACAGAATACCTGCTTTCTCTTTGAAAAGTGCAATTTCTGTGCCTATGTATGCATGCATATGCGGGCAGACATGGCTTGAAGGGGTGCTAAGCATTTCTGTCATAGATGGGATAAGGTGATAGTGTTCTTCAGAGTTCATTGATGATAAATAAAGTAGGAAAAATCTGGACACATTTTATAGAATAATAGAATCAGAAAATGGAAGTGAGCTTTTTGTGATGACTTGATTTATAATTACTTTCACATTTTTAGGTATGCCATCGCATTGGCCTTAAGGGAAAAGCAGCGTGTAATATTTACCAGTCCAATTAAGGCTCTGAGCAACCAGAAATACCGTGAAATGTATGAAGAATTTCAAGATGTTGGTCTGATGACTGGAGATGTTACTATTAATCCGACTGCATCTTGTCTGGTTATGACCACAGAGGTAATATATATATAGTACCTCATCCATTCATTTTTCCATTTTTAATTTAATATGTATTCATTTAGAGCATTCAGAATTTTATCATTTACTCAATGTAGATACAGTGCTAGCACTTTACCAAGTAAAGATTTGTTTGACAGGGAGAAAGTTCATCTTAAAATGTTATAGCAATGGTATAAATTTATTTCTAAAATGCCATTTTCTCTGTTACTTGTCATAAAACATACACAGTCTTTTCATCAAGTATTTTATGTGCTTATTACTCTCAGTGACATTAAAATGTTATTATAGTTTTAAATATTTTTAAATATTTTAAGGACTTGAGTACATAGTTTTTATAGAAGTAGTAGCTCCTTGTTTCGTCTGTTTTTTTTCCTTCTGCATCTGAATGTTAGATCAAATAGAAAAGTAGCATACTTTCAGAAATGTTCTATTACATTTAGTTTCCTTCCACAATCATAGTTAGACCTTACATATAATTATAATATCTTAAGTTTTGGACATGATTAGCTGTATTTACTGTACTAAGTACTTCTGTATGTACTTGAATTACATTCTTGCCTTTTACAAGGACACGGTACACTAGAGAGCATAAATTATTGTCTGGTCTGGAGAGCAGCCAAAAGCATTGCTCATTTTTCATTTTGATACCCAAAGTAAGTTAATTTTCTCTTCTCAAAACTTTATTTCATCTGTAGCAGATTTCTTTAACTCTGAAAAATCAGGGTAAAATTAAAGAAAAGAATACATTCTGAGGCGATATAGGCAGAAAAGGTGAGTAAGCAGTATGAATGAATCTCAAGTTGATTCTGATTATCTGTCAGGTTTAGCAAGAAGATAATTTTAAGCTGCTCTTAAAAAAGTATGTGTATTGGAATTGGTACTGAGCATATAAGGGTAACTTCCCTTGGACGCAGATGGGCAATAGACATAATAATCCTCTCTGAGGATTGTATCTGATCTCTATTGAGAATGCATTTACTTTGGTTTTGTGGGAGAAAGGAACATTAATTTGATTTATAGAATGGTTTTGGTTCGCTGGTAGAATTCTCATCGTCTATGTGGGAGACCCAGCTTTGACTCATGGCCAGTAAACCTCCTGTGTAGCCACTGGGGTTGCTTTAATGTTGAGTAGATTTCAGTGGAGCTCCCAGATTAAAACAGACTAGGAATAAAGGCGTGGCAATTACTTCTGAAAACTAGCCGATGAAAACCCTGTGGATTACAATGATCCAGTCTTAGGGACAGTGCAGGACCGGGCAGTGATTTTTGTTGTGCTTCGGTTGCCATGAGTCAGAGATCAACTCCATGCAGTTAGCAACAAAAAATAATGTTCCATTAATAAAGATTTTCCAAAGTATTTTAAGTTTTTATTCAATTATTGATTTTTTTAAATTTTCTCTTGAGATTTTGAGAAGTATGCTGTACAGAGGTTCCGAAGTTATGCGAGAAGTTGCTTGGGTCATATTTGATGAAATCCATTACATGAGAGACTCAGGTACTGTGCATATTCTGTTGTGGTGTTGAGAGTTATAACACATATTTCTTCAAATTGCCCTTAGGGGTTTTGAACAAGAAGCACTTATATTTTCTTTGGATTTTGATATGACTCAAATTTAGTACCTGGTGGCGCTCTTGATTAGATGCTGGACTGCTGATTGCAGAATCCAGTTCAAACCCACCAACTTCTCTACTGGACTGAGATCAGGCTGCTGGCTGCTTTCTTAAAAGATTACAATCTTCATAATCTTGTATTGGGTCACAGTGAGGCAGAATTGGCAATGTCAGTGGGTTGGATTTTTTATTTTAGAATTCTAATAAATTTTTGCTTCTTAAAATTGTTGACAACTTGATACATTGTTTCCAGTTAGAACTATTCAAGTTGTAATTTCCTCTGAGTGAAAATTAGCATCATCAGATAAAGCAAGTGGAGTTAAAACTGGTTTGCTTTTAATATAGAAATCTCTAATATTAAATAGTTCTTAAACCCTTTGACTTAAAAAGTTTAATTACCTTGAATTTCATTACGTTATTTTAAAAAATGCTTCTAAAGTTCAACAAAAAGCATGTTTCTGATAAAATGAGAATTATGAAATACACAAAAACAAAAGTTAGAAATGTCTCTTTATTTGGGCTGTTCTAGTTCTACTAATGGAAAAATAACTATTTGGAATTATGAGGGATGAGAGGTGAAGGTTGATAGTTGATTTGTTTTTAAAGTCATAATTCTGTGGTGGTTTGTTTATTTTAGAGGGAAACTATCAAGTTGATTTTTTGTCTTATTTTTATTTTCCATTATAATATGAAATGACTTGTACTTCTGGTATTTCTAAAATCTTTTGCCCTTAAAAGGTTATGAGGGTAATTGGGTGAGAGAGTCCATATGGAATATAATTAGTGTATCTTTGAAGTTTGTTGCTGCAGCATGTACAGATCATTAACCCCTGCCTCTCAAAGTAAAGTGGGAAAACTACTCTTTTGCCTTATCATTGGAGCTCCACTTAGGCTGTATCTTAGCTATCTGCTTCTGTAACAGAAATGTGGAAGGCTGTCACAAACAGAAATGTCTACTTTTGGAGTTTAGAAGGCTCGAAGTCCAAATTTAGTGTGCTGGCTCTAGGAAAGACCTTTCTTTTTCTGTCTTGCTGTGGGGGTAGGTCCTTGCCTTCTTTCCACTCTGTGGTCTTGAGTTCCCTTGGAAAGCTCCTTATGACTTGGTATTAAGCTTCCCTGACTTTAAGAGGTTCTCTGTGCAGGGACGTTGGGTTCAAAGGTCATGTTCTAACTCTTCTTTCATGGTAGTACTGAGAGACCTCTGCTTCCCGCTCATTTCTTTCTCATTTTATCTCTTGCAAGATAAAAAGTGCAGGCCCCATGCCAGGAAACTCCTCTTACACTGGATTAGGGCTGACCTGATAAGGGTGTTGCATCCCACCCTGATACTCTTACAAATGATTGGCTGATCATAGCAGATCATCTAGGAGGGTATTTATATTATTATATAATTCAAACCACAGAGAGTCCTGGGCTCAACCAAGCTGACTCATATTTTGGGGGACCCAGGTTGATCAGTGACGCACTACCTTTGAAAGAGATTCAGTCTGGAACTGTTTTTTTTTGCAGTTACTTCAGAATATTTTGTTTTTATAGTGTTAAGTCTTAGTAGATTGATTCATGGTGAGAATTAACATAGTTTTCAGTCAAGTTCTGTGACTAAAAATAATCTTTGTGAAATGCTTTGCATTTCTAATTATTCAGCTTGAGAATATTATTGATATACTGTAATTAAAGTGTAACTGAATTCCAATCCCACGTTGTATTGTTTTGTTTCTCCAGAGCGTGGTGTGGTATGGGAAGAAACCATTATTTTGCTCCCTGATAATGTTCACTATGTCTTTCTATCGGCTACTATACCAAATGCTCGACAGTTTGCTGAATGGATTTGCCACTTACATAAGCAGGTATTTTCTTTCTCTTTATAGATATCTTCAATATTCAAAACATGAATTTGCTTTACCGTATCTGGTAATTAACTTCTTATCACAATCAACTGACTAGCTATTTAAAGTGTTGATTTCTGAGCTAAATCTCAAACCAAAATCTCTAAGAATAGTACCTCAGAATATCTAAATCTCTGATATTTAGATCTCATAGTCTTACTTCTTATGTGACTCTTCATATTTGCCCTTTTGATTAGATACCACTGAAAAGGAATTGGGACAATTACCACCTTAACCTCAGTCTGAGGTTTTTTTAATCTCTGAACTATACTTCCATGTGCTTTTGTTGCTTGTTTCTTGAAGTCTAAGCATGTTGCCTGCCCTTCACCTGAGTTACTATGTGTCTGCCCTATAGTGATTCACCCTCCTTTTCCTCCCACCCCTGGTAACCACTGGAGAATGTTTCTGTTAGTGTGCAAATAGTGATCTCATACAATATTCTTTTGTTTGACTTAACTCACTTAGCAGGGTATCTTCCAAATTCATATTATGAGCATATGAGAGTCCCAGTTTTTTTACAGCCTCACCAACATTTGTTGTTTTTAGTTTTTGAACCTTACTGTGAATGCTAGTATACGATAATCTCATTGTTGTTTTGCTTTGCAACTCTTTAAAGGCTAATGTTCATGAGCATTTTTCTCATTTGGTGACTTCCTGAATGTCTTCTTTGGCGACATTCTATCTGTACATGTCCTGCCTATTAAAAAAATTTTTTTTTGGTCTTTTTGTTGTTGAGCTATTGAAATTTTTTGATAAATTTTAGAGATGAGTCTCTTATCTGGTATGTCATTGCCAAAATTTTCCTAATTTGTGGGTTCTCTTTTGGTTTTGTGAAATCATTTGATTCACCTAATGCTAATTTTTAGGAATTTCCGGTCATTTAGTTTGTTTTCTGCTGTTTTTGTGTTTTCAGTTATGTTTGATGTATTATCAAACATAATTTATGCCATGTATTCTCACTGCCTTTGGGTGAACTCTGACTTTTAGGGCCCTTATAGGACAGAGTAGAACTGCCCTTGTAGGTTTCCAATTTTCAAAGGAGCAATAAACTCATCTTTCTGCTGCAAGCAACTGGTGAGTTTGAACCTGCAGCATTGCTGTTAGTAGCCCAACATGTAACCCACTACACTACAGGGCTCCTATGCTTTCTATTAGACCCCAAAATTTACCCTTATTTTTCCTTTGATAATCTATCATTTTTGGTATTATGTTTAGGTCGTTGATCCAATTAAGTTCATTTTTTTGTGTTGTATGGGAAGGGGGTCTTGTTTAATTTTCCTGTAAATATCCAGTTTCTCTAGCACTGTTTTAAAGAGACTCTCTAGTCCATTTAATGATTTTGGTCCTTTTTCCAAAGATCAATTGCCCATAGATAGATGGATTTACTTATAGCTTGTTAATTCTGTTCCACTGTGTGTGCTATTGTGCCAAGCCCAGGCTTTTTTGTCTAATAGAGCTGAACAGGTTTTGAGATTAAGAAAGAATTGGCTTCTTTTTGTGGTCTTCTTTATTAGTGTTTTACTTATGTGAGGTCTCCGTTTCCATATGAATTTGATTACTAGTTTTTTTTTCATCTATTAAAAAATGATATTGGCATCTAGATTGGAATTTCATTTTATTTGTACATACTTTGATAGTATTGACATTTTCATAATGTTGTTTTCCTATCCATGATCAGGGGAGCCCCAGTAGTACTGCCAGGTAAACATTGGACTGCTAACCACAAACAAGGTCAACACTTCAAACCCACCAGCCTTTTCATGGGAGAAAAATTAGACTCTGCTCCCATAAAGTTTACATCCTCGGAAGGTTTACATAGGGTCCTTATGAAGTGAAATAGACTAGATGGCAGTGACTTTGGTGGGTTATTCAGTAGCTTAGAATATATTTCCATTTATGTAGGTCTCTTGGTTTCTTGTAGTAATATTTTGTAGGTTTCTTTGTGTGGATCTTTTATTTCTCTGATTTATTCCTAACTACTGCATCTTTTGTGTGACTATTGTAAATGGTATTATTTTCCTGATTTCCTTCTTGGAGCTCGCTTTGTTAGTATAAGGGAATTCGACTGATTTTATATGTTGATTTTGTTTCCTATCACTTTGATGAATCTTTCAGGTAATTCCAGTCATATTTTGCTGAGCCTTTGGGATTTTTCTATTTATAAGATCATATCAGAACCCTGGTGGCAAGCTGCTAATCACAAGGTCAGCAGTTTGAAACCATCAGCCCAGTTACTCAGGAAAAAGACAGTTTTTTATACCTGTAAAGAGTTACAGTCTTGAAAACTCATGGGGGCAGTTCTACCCTGTCCTATAGGATAGCTCTGAGGTAAAATCCATGTATGACACTAAGTAAACTTTTGGTTTGGAGAATCATAGCAGCAGTGCCTTTTGTTTCCACTTCTTGCCTTATAGCTTTAGCTAGCCTACCAATAACGTTAAATAGAAATGATGATGAAGGGCATCCTTATCTGGTTCCCATCTGCAAGGAAAATGCTTTTGACTTTTGGCTTGCATGAACCATAACCCAACTCAGTGCCATTGAGTCATTGCTGACTCATAGCGACCCTCTGTGGGTTTCCTAGACTGTAACTGTTTACAGGAGTGGACAGCCCAGTTTTTCTCATGCAGAGCTGCTGGTGATTTCAAACTGCAGACCGACCACGTGGATTGCAGCCCAGCACTACACCACCAGGGCCCGTTTGGGCGTGCACATTTGCACTTAATTATGTCGGGAAATTTCTCTTTTGTTAAGGAGTGGAGTACGTATTAGATTTTGGCAAATGTCTCTCTTGTGTCAGTTGATATGATCATAAGGTTCTTTCATTTAGTGGTGGCTTGCATCAAATGTTTTTCTAATATTGATCATCCTTGCGTGCCTGGTATGAATTCCACTTAGACGTGTTGTATTATATGTTGGATTCTCTTGGTTAGCATTATGTTGATTATCATCATCTGTCAAGTTTAGAAACTATTGCATTTATTCAGCCATTGAACTGTAAGTACACAGATTTCCAGTAAGACCTTCCTACCAGGAAAAGCTGGGCATCTCCTGAGCATATTTTTTAAATTTTGCCATGCAAATACCATGAAGCTGTTTATGAACATGTTTCCTTTTTGCTTTTCTGCAACTTTATTGGGTAAGCAATTGTTTAGGATACTGAATTTGTTTTTTGTTTTCTTTTCTAGCTCTCTTTTTTAAAACAATGATGTTCTTGTGTAATTATTTTTATCTTTTTATGAGCTCTCTCTAACAATGTTTGTTACATTTTCCCGTGTTACTTCTGTAGGATAGAAACCTAGTAGATCTTCTGGAGGAAGTAGATCAATCTACTGCTTGATAAGCACAAGCCTCCTAGATCATCTTACTCTACTGCTCCATAAAAGAAGGCATTCCTTTTGGTTACAGCATGAGTCCAGGATTGTTAGTAAAGCTCAAGATACGCATTTGGCTATGTTTAGGGACTTGGTAAAGAGAAAGTATGTTAGCACTAATTTTGTAGACCGCCTTTCCACATTTTTCTGTGGTTCTTTATGCTAAAAACTTTCTTGTTTTAGTATGAAATGTTGAATTCACAAGTTTAATTCCCCAGGGGCTTTTAGGCAGAGTACATACACAGCTCTATTTTGTATCAGTAACATTTAATAAGCTTAATTAATTGTCTTTCTTTTTACAGCCTTGCCATGTGATTTACACAGATTATCGGCCTACTCCATTGCAACATTACATCTTTCCAGCAGGAGGAGATGGCCTCCACCTTGTAGTTGATGAAAATGTAAGGAGATGATTATTTTATTTTTCATAGTTCATGCCTTTTTAATTTATGTAGTTTAATTTTTAAATTTTGTTCCAGTTTTTCAAATTATTTCTTAAATGTTTATTTTTAATGTTTTAATAAATCATTTTATTGGGTGCTCTCACAGCTCTTCTAACAATCCAATACATCAATTGTATCGATCACATTTGCACCTATGTTGTCATTATCATTTTCAAAACATTTTCTTTCTCCTTGAGCCCTTGGTATCAGCTCCTCTTCCCCCCTACCACCCCCCACCTCCCACCCTCCCCGACCCTCCAACCCTTGTGAACCCTTGATAGCTTATAAATTATTTTTATTTTCATATTTTACACTGTCTGCTGTCTCCCTTTACTCACATTTCTGTTATTCATCCCCCGGCCGGAGGGGACAGGGGAGGCGGTGGTGTACATTGCTCATTACAATCAGTTTCCCTGTTCTTCCCCCTACCCTCGTGGTAGCTACTCATTACTGGTCCTGAGGGGTTTATCTGCCCTGAATTCTGTGTCGAGAGCTCTTATCAGTACTAGTGTACATGCTCCGGTCTAGCCAGGTTTGTAAGATAGAAGCAGGAACTGGGGTCATGATAGTGGTGTGGGGGGTGGGGTGGGAGTGCACTAAAGAACTAGAGGAATGTTGTGTGTTTCATTGGTGTTATACTGCACCCTGGCTGGCTTGTCCCTTCCTCGTGACCCCTCTGTGAGGGGATATCCAGTTGTCTACAGATGGACGTTGGGTCTCTGCTCTGACCCACCTCATTTGCATTGACATGATTACCTGTTTTGGGTCTTCTGTTGCCTGATACCTGGTCCTATAGACATCTCGCGATCACACGGGTTGGTGTGCTTCTCCCTTGTTGGCTTTGTGCTTCTTCCTTGTTGGCTTTGTGGCTTCTTTGCTAGATGGCCGCTTGTTTAACTTCAAGCCTTTAAGACCCCAGATGCTTTAACATGTAATAGACGGGCATTATCAGCTTTCGTTACCACATTAGCTTATGCACCCATTTTGTCTTCAGTGATCGTGTCAGAAAGGTGAGCATCACAGAATGCCAGGTTATTAAAACCAAGTGTTCTTGCGTTGAGGGAGAAATTGAGTAGAGCCCCATTGTCCATCTGCTTCCTTAATACTTAACCTATAAATATATGTACATAGACCTAATCCCTATGTATATATATTAATATATTTAAATATGTACATGCCTATGTTTATACCTCTATAAATGTCTATTACCTCCTAGTTCTTTCCTTTATTTCCTCTTGTCCCACTATCATGTTCAACCTTCATTTGGCTCTCTCTACTTCCTCTCGGCTACATTGCACTTTATTGAACCCCACCAGGCATTCTATGCCCTCCTCGCCATTGATTGTTGTTCCCTTGTCCCTGGGTTTGTTGGATCCCCTCTCCTTTCCCCCCACCTCATCCTCTTCCCCGGTCTCCTCCGGAACCATCAGTCCCATTGTTTTCTCCTCGGAATTGTTTATCCTGACAGACATGAAAGAAAAATAAAACGTTTATGAATGGTTCCAGGTCTGTCTGCTGACCCTCATGAATGTTTCCTAATCCGGTCTGATGCAGTGCCAGTGCCCCCTGAGTCCAAAGACTGTTTTCAGAATTCTTCTGGGATCTCATTGCTTTGCTCCCCTTGTTGCTCTGTTTGGCTCGCTTCATGTTATGCCCTGGTGTGTTTGTGGGGCGGGGCCAGACTGGGCACAATTCCTGCACTGTGTCTCCAGTGCTGTCTCTGTAGTGCTGTGGGCCAGTAAGGGGATACTGTGTCTTGTGGTGAGGCTGACCCTACAGTCCTCACTGTGCATTGGCTGCTCCAAGTAGGAATGTCGTCCTCAATGCTTGGTGGACCAGAATGCTGTTCTACCTCTGTGTGTCTCTCTTTCCCTCTTAGTTTTCGCTTGTGTCGCCTGGGTTGATGTGGATGGTTATATAGTGCTCTTTTTGTATTTTCTTTTCAAAATTGTAATGAATTCTTGTGTTTTCCTTATGAATAAGTTACATTTTTTATTTCCAATTATTTAAAAATGCCTACAGGATTAGGACTCTGGGCATGTTTCAGATGTTTAATGTTTTATCTCTCCTAGTTTTATACCTTTTTATAACCTTCATCACATATCAATCTTTAATTATTGGCAATAATTACTGTTTTATTATTTTAGATTATCTGGGGAGGCTCTTTCTGAAGAATGAAATGCATTTGAATTACAGTGAAATGCATTGAATTCATTGAAATGAATGCATTTAAATTATTAATTTAATTCATGTCAATAAGATTGAGGATCCCTGGCTGCTTAGTGGTTGTACATTGGGCTGCTCACTGTAAGGAAAGCAGTTTGAAACCACCTGCTGCTCCTTAGGACAAAGATGAGGCTTTCTACTCTTGTAAAGAGTTATAATCTTAGAAACCCACAGGGGAACCTCTACTCTGTCCTATAGGGTCACTATGAGTAGGAAATGACTTGATAGCAGTAAGTTTTTAAATTTTTATTATTTAGATTATATAGAGCATTATCTGTGATTCCAGGGTGACTTCAGGGAAGATAATTTTAATACTGCAATGCAAGTGCTTCGAGATGCAGGTGACTTGGCCAAAGGAGACCAGAAGGGGCGGAAAGGTGGAACAAAAGGTAAATTGGAATTTTGTTTTAACATAATTTTACATATAAATGTATACTGAAGTTACTTTTCCATTTTTTGTTATTAACTTATTTTTTTCTCAGGAAAGCATATCAAGAAGGAATGTACTGAAATTTGGTGATTAAAAGGTTGAATTTAAACATTATGTAACTTTGCAAACAACCTAACCTTTACATCAAAGCTTTTTTGCTATATAATCCATATACTATTAAAACCACCATTTTATAGTGTAAATAATGTTATCTGTATGCATCAGAATTTCATCTCTTTATGGCCAAATTATGGATACTACATTTTATTTGCTCATCAGTTGATGAATTGTAGATTGTTTGCACATTTGGCATTTACTTGTCGTACGACAAACTTTCCTGTGTCAGGCTGTGGAGATAGTTTTCCTTTCTTACAGGTATGGAGTGGAAAAACTAGGTCGTATAGCAATTCGGTTGCACTCTTTGTGGAGCTGCCACACTGGTTTTCCAAAGTGTCTGCACTGATTTACAGAAGCCCCGGAGCTGTCTGTGGGTTCCAGCTCCTGCCCTGGCCAGTGCTTGCGATTGCTTGTGAAGCCCTATCTCCCTGTGGTTTGATATATCTCGGATGGCTAGTGGTGTTGAGCACATTTGCATTTGCGTATTGGTGTAGTCTGTATTTTCCTTGGGAAAATGTCTGTTTAGGTCCTTTGCACGTTTTCTAATTGGGATATTTTTTTATTCATCTGTAAAAGTTCTTTATATAACCTGGATATAAGTCCTTTATAAGATAAAAGATTTGCAAAAATTATCTCCCATTCTATGGGTTATCTTTTCACTTTCTTGGTGGTGATAACTTCCAAATTATCTTTTTTGACCTCTACATTGTAGCTTTTGATACTATATGTAAGAAGGCAAAGTCCTACACAAAGTCCTACATAAAAACATTTACTCTTTTTTTTAATAGGTGTTTTATAATTTATCACTTACACGTTTAAGTGTGGTTCATTTTGTGTTAATTTTTTGTCAACCTCTTTTTATAGGGCCATCAAATGTGTTCAAGATTGTGAAGATGATTATGGAAAGAAATTTTCAGCCTGTAATTATTTTCAGTTTTAGTAAGAAAGATTGTGAAGCTTATGCACTTCAAATGACCAAATTGGATTTTAACACAGGTACTACGTAATCGGAGGAGTAGAGTTTTACTGTTAATGTGAAAATGGATGTCAAATATATTTCTAGCAATACATTTGTCTATGAAAATGGATTCAAATATATTTCTAGCAATACATTTGTCTAATTGGGTATTAATAGCACAGCAGTTCACCTTAAAGTTATAGTGGTAAGTACTTAGCATCTTTGTTTAAACATTTCACAGGGTAATGATTGAACATTTCTTCTCTTTTTACTGAAAGAAATATGTACATTGCTGTTAAAGTCCTGATAGCCCTATCAGCAGACATCGGAACACTTCCCTCTTAGGCTTTATTGCCATAGCTCCTCAGTGATTGTGGTTTTCTATCCAGCTAGTTAATGCTAGATCTCTTGGAGTGACCATCTTCTACACTGGGACCCTGTTCACTAGTCTAGAAATCCTACCTAAGTGCTGTGGCTCCCCCCAAAAGTAAAGTAACTACTAGCAAATTGGTGCATTCCTTCCATACGTTAATTATAAATGTAACTCACCAAAAGTCGCCTAGCTAAATAGTAGATCAACTCCATCAGGCGTGGCAGTTTGTTGACAGTCAACCTAGTCGGTTCAGCCTTTTCCATATATGAGCGGGCTTCTAAAATTTGTGCAGAAATTCCATTATCTTTCAATTCCATCTTTTAATGAGCTTTTTGAAGCCTTCTCTTAAATCCTATACAGGAAGAAGTAAATACTTTGAATTGCTCAAGGAGAAATTTCCCTTATACTTTTACCAAGGCACAAGAGTAGATCCATGTGTGATATTATTTTTATTAGATTAATTGCTTTGCTGATAGTTTTCTGGTAACCTGTAGTGCCAAATATGCTTGATTTTCCACAGTTATATATTGTTTAAGTCATCCAATATTTGAGTAACCTGATGGTGCAGAAGTGGTTGATGGTTTGAATATACCAGCAACTCAGCAGGAGAAAACGGAAGTTGTTTGCTTCCTTAAAGATTTCTCGCTGCCATTGAGTCAATTAAGACCCCGTTGAGTCATAATAACCCCTGTAATGGGGGAGTAGAAAGTGCCCTCGTCTTTCTGCTGAGGAGCAGCTTGTGGTTTCATACTAACTAGCCCACTGTGCCACCAGGACTCCTAGTAAGTAATAGCAGGTCAGTTATGTACTTCTGAGTTTCACTTTCCTTAGTAGGTGAATAGCAGATACTGGTATTGCTTTGTCCTCTCGTTGTTATATAATTGTTATATTTAAATGAAATAGTTACATATTAAGTACTTGATATAGTTAGTTATTGCTGTTATTTTATAAGGTAGTACTCTTCTTCATGGGTTACGGTTACAAGATTTATTTTTTTAAATTATTCTATTAAGTCTGTGATCATTTTGGTCTGGAATTCCCCTTTAATCATCTTGAATACTGACAGCTTATACCCAAAGACTCTCATTTCTTTGTAAAAAAAGGGTGAAATTTGATATCACAGATTTATTTTGACATTTATATCCCCTTGGGTTTTGTCTTCAGATGAAGAAAAGAAGATGGTTGAAGAAGTATTCAATAATGCAATTGACTGCTTGTCTGATGAAGATAAAAAACTCCCTCAGGTGAGTATTGAACCTTACTTTGTAAACTATGGATATTAATAGAGTAAATAGAATCACTTTACATTTTCTCATTCTGTCAGTATAGTGCACCCCTTGCACACTGCAGCAAATATTATTTCATTGAAATGACATCTTAATTTTTATTTCAGATTTCTGAAATAGTGACTGGAGGAAAGCTACTGTGTAAAGGAACTTTTTTTTGAAAGCTTACCTGGTCTGAAATGAATATTGCTGTGCCTAATACTGAAAAAGTTTAATGCTAGTTTTAAATAGTTAAGGTTCTTAATTCACAAGGCTACAAAATAACACATTAGAGCACACCTCATGAAAATCACATACTTAGGAAAGTAGTGTGTACTCTAGTTTAATGTAAGGAGCCCTCGTGGTGTAGTGGTTACATGTTGCATTGCTAACCACACGATCAGCAGTTTGAAACCAACAGCCGCTCCATTTAGTGAAAGATGAGACTTTGTTCTTGTAAACTCATAGAAAGTTTACTCAGAAATGCATAGGAGTAGTTCTGTCCTGTTCTATAAGGTTGCTATAAATTGGAATAGACTCAATGACAGTGAAGTTTTTTGAGTTTCTTTTAATGTAAGAACTCTTGTCGTGTAGGGTTTAAGCACTCGACTGCTGACTCAAAGGTTAACAGTTCACACCAGGTTCTCTGCTGTAGGCAGCAATGGCAGTCTGTATGCAGAAAAATTCCAGCCTTGAATACCTCATGGGGCAGTTCTGCGCTGTCCTATAGGTTGTTATGATTTGGAATCAAATGGACAACATTGGATTTGTTTTAATTCAGTAGTTCCTTTAATTTGCTGTTTGTTGAAATTGTGTGGTGGTTAGATGCCATCAAGTTGTTTGTGATTCACAGTGGCCCTATGTACAGCAGAACACAACACTGTCCATTCTTCACAATTGTTATCCTTGAGCCCATTTTAGGAGTTATTGTGTTAGTCCATCTACTTGAGGGTCTTCCTCTTTTTTACTGACCCTCTACCACGCATGATGTCTTTTTTTTAAACAGTTTTATTAGCACTTCATCCGCATGTCATACAACTCAGCAATTCAGTCATATCAAGAAGAGTTGTACAGTTGTCATCACATTCAATTCTAGAACATTTTTTTCTTCCTTGTAGTCATTACTATTCATGTATTATTAATTTTTCTAATTGTCACAAAAATTTACACAACAGAACATTCTCCAATTCCACAACTTCTGCTTATATAATTCATTGTCATTGATTATATTTTTCATGTTGTACAACTATTAAAAATTATTCTACCACCACTAACATAAACTCATGCCCATTGTACAACTCTTTCCCCTTCACCTGTGGTAACTTCACATTGTATAAATTTGGTTAGTTTTTTTTTCCTCGTGGTTTTCTTGATAGAGTATTCACATTTCATATATTTCCATGGTTAAATTGCTTTTAAAATGAGTTTTGTAATCACAATCAGTTTTAGTTTTCCCTCCCCCCCTCCCACATTCATTGTTCTTCAAATCCCCTCACCCTCCCTATCTCCCACCCCACCCCCACATCTACTGTAAACCATCGCATCAATTATCTCTCTGATCTATTTCTGTGAGTCCCAAACTGGAAAACCCAACAGAAACAGTAAAAAAAAACAAAAATTGTTAAGGTTAAAGTAATAATAATATAAAGATAAAAGTGCAAATAATGAGTAAGGGGAAAAAGGCCACCATCAACATTTAAAAAACTAGGGAAGAAGTTTTTGCCATGGAACAAGCACAAAATCCTTAATTCTAGAACAAATTCAGGTTGGGTCAAGAGGAGGGAGGGAGGTCAACTGGCCAAGTATGAAGTTCTATCCAGCACAATCAAGTTTACAATGCTCTCTGTCTGATAGTGAAGCTGTTCAATGCCCTGACCTGTGGCTAGAGGGCAAGGATCTGCCAGAGCCTTAATCTGACCAGATACTTTCCAGATGGGTTTTGGGCTCTCACAGCCCTCCATAGCCTTCTATAAATTGGCTGCTCACAATTTAAGCTATGATACTTTTTCTATCGTCATATTTGGATTTTGTTATTGTGATCCTTGGATCACACAAACTGGTGTGTTTCCATGTGGGCTTAGTTGATTCCTCACTTAGATGGTTACTTGTTTGAATACAAGCCTTTAAGACTCAAGACACTATTCTGATTGATAGCCGGGCACCATCTGCTTTCATCCTTGCACTTTGCTGTAGAAACATTATCTTAGTGATCATTTCATGATGGTGAGTGTTGAGCAGGGCCATATTATGAGAACTAAGTGTTCTTGGATTGGGGCTATAGTTAAGTGGGAGCCCAGAATCCATCTGCTTGTCCACAGGTTCTGCATAACTCTGATTTATTTGGCAGTCATGAAAAATCAAAACCCCATATGACCAACTACAACAACAGCACAAACCAGCCAGCAAACAAACAAACAAAAGGCAGGAAAACATAAAAGTAAAACACTGTCAATCATCCTCCTGGGGCATATACGGTGAATGCTTTGGTAACATGAACAATTTTTCCATTGACACAGCATGCCAGACACTGTTGGGATGAGGAGTATATGTGAGTTCAGTTCCACTGTGAACTGCAGCCCATGAATTATTCTCTGCATAATTCAATCTCCTAATCAATTGAGCTCTGTTAACCCAACGCATGGGGATTGGTGCCACGGGAAAACTTCAGGGATCAATTCTTTCAAGTGCAGATCTTGCCCAACAGATCAAATCCTGCCATATCAATGCAAGGGGGACATTGAGGTACAAAATATATGGTGATTCTGGGTCCCTTTCCATTGGACACCCACCAAGCTAGGGGTTCCCCCCACAGGTCCAGTGACTGCCACTTCCACAGCCCCATGCAGCCACACTCTGCTTCCTCTCCCATCAGAGTACAGTCCAAGGGTACATGCAGCTTCAAGGCAGGCTCAGTTCATTCACTCGGGCCTCTATGTTGAACCTCGCTAGTGTGACCCTGTGGGATGCCATGCTGCCTGTAAGGTCAGCATCCAAGGTCATCATGGTGCTTAGTCCATGGCATGACTCATCAAGGGTTGGGTAGAAACATTCATATTGTCTACCTAGGCACATCAAGTCTGGTCCATTGCCCCTCTACATTCTCTACAAATCATTGTTTAGTTTCCCTTCCTGATGTTAGGTACAAGCATGATGTCCTTCTAACATATTCAGACTAATGAGGTGAAGCCTTGCCATTCTCACTGCCAAGAAACAATCCAGCTGTATTGTTAATGAAACAGGTTTGTTTGTTCTTCTGATCTTCTGGCAGTGTATAGTATAGTTAGTATTCTTCTCCAACATCATAATTCACAGTGCTAATTCTTTTTCAGTCTTCCTTAGACATTGTTTGCTTTTGCATGTATTTCAACAACGAAAGCTCATTGCCATCAAATCAATAAGGACTCATAGTGACCCTGTAGGACAGTGTAGAACTGCCCCCATGACTTTCCAAGACTTTTCCAAATTAATGGAAGTAGAAAGCATGTGTTTCTCCCATGGAGCGGCTGCTGGTTTCAAACTGCAGACCTTGATATTGCAGCCCAGTATGTAACTACTATGCCACCATTTGAGGTGATTGAAAATACCTTGGCTTCCGGCAGGTGCACCTTAGTCTTCAGAGAAACATCTCTGCTCTTTAACACCTTAATTATGTCTCCTGCAGCAGATTTGCCTAGTACAACACTTTAGAATTCTTTTTTTTCCTTCACATTTGAATTCTTGACTGCTTCCATTAGTGTTGATTATAGATCCAAGTAAAATAAAAGCCGTGACAATTTAATCTTTTCTCCATCTATCAAGATGTTTATTTTGTCAAGTTGTGAGGAGTTTGTGTGTTTTTTTACATTGATTTGCAATCCATGCTATCTTTTTTTAAAAACAATTTTATTGTCATAAATTCACATATCATACTTTTCTATCAATAGTTCAGTCACATGGAGAAGAGTTGTACATCATCACCACAATCGGTGGAAGAACATGTTCTTCTTTATTGTTCTCATCTTAATTTGCTCCCCTTTTCTCCCTAACTTCCACTGCCATCCTTTATCCAGTTATTGCCTCAGTAGATTTACCTATCCTGGATTTCCTATATGGAAAAACATTTTAAAAAACCACAACATAATTAGCACCAACACAAAGTAAAACAGATAAAAAATCTCAAATCAAAAAGAAAGCAGAGCTAATTATAAACTACAACATATTAAAAATGTATAATGTATAATAAGGGAGATCGAATGATAAGGTGCTAAATTTTTCCCTACTACATCTGTAGTGTATCACTGTCCAGTACATTCTGCATGATAACAAGGCTATTCACATCCCTGGTCAATTGTCAGAGGGGATTCACCAGAGGTTTAATCCATGAGTATTACCCCTTCACTTTTTTTTTTTTAAACTGAAACAACTTTAAAATGAGTCACAAGGGAGATCAAATGATAAGGTATTAAATTTTACTATAACTATGTATACCATAATCAACATAACCATTTTGCCAGCAGGTCTCAACACACTTTTTAAAAATAAAAAACATTTTATTAGGAGCTCTTACAGATATCATTATAATTTATAGTTCCATTAGGTCAAGCATAATATCCACTTCTAATAACAAAAAACCAAACCCTTTTCTGTCAGGTTGATTCTACCTTACAGTGACTTCATATGACAGAGATGACCCAATAGGGTTTCTAAGGCTGAACATCTTGAAAGATGCAGACTGCGCATTCTCCCTTTGAGTAGCTCAAACTGCTGACCTTTTGGTTAGTGCTGAATGCTTAATCCTTGTGTTACCAGGGCTCTTAGATTCCTAATAGTAAGTATTTAATGGAAGATGATATAGTAATAAAGAGAATGAGCTCTTTGTAATTCATTTGCTTTTTAGTGAGATACATAGTTATAGCAAATATATGCTTAATTTTCTTTTGTGTGAGTAGGCGTTATCTTTTAAAGTTATTTTGTGCGACTGCAAAGTGCCTTCTTTTCTTTGCTTATAATTTTCTTAGAAGCGCTGAATTGATGCTGGAAATTTTTAATGAAATGGGACTATTCTTAGGACTATATCTGAATCAAAAGACATGGCTTTCATATTAAATATAGTTAAACCCAAACTAATTTGTTTTGAGTTTAGTATTCCTTTTTTTCAAAAAAATCATTTTATTGGAGGCTTTTACAGCTCTTATCACAATCCATACATCCATCCATTGTATCAAGCACATTTGTACATTTGTTGCCATCATCATTTTCAAAACATTTCCTTTCTACTTGAGCCCTTGGTATCAGCTCCTCGTTTTCCCCCTTCCAACACCCAACCTCCCTCCCTCATGAACCCTGAGTTTAGCATTCATTAGGAATGTGGATTAAAGTATTGCCTTGATCCTACCACTGCAAAGCTTAAATAGTTTCTTTGAGCACAGTGTTTTGTTTTGTTTTTGTTGGGATTACTCCTTTTCTTAATTTAATTAGCTGAGCATTTTAATTTTCCATTTCCTCACAATATTATAAAATGGATATTTCAAAATTATAGGTTGAACATGTCCTTCCTCTTTTGAAGCGAGGCATTGGTATTCACCATGGAGGTTTACTTCCTATTTTAAAAGAAACTATTGAAATCCTTTTTTCAGAAGGATTGATAAAGGTATGGTTTATGTTTATTATGTTTCATAACTGTGTACTTTGAATGGTTTGAAAATCACAGAGTGTGCTGTTACTAGCTTTATGGTTTGTTTGTTTTTTAACCATGTCATGTGCAATGACTTAGGAAGGGAACTTGGTTTTTGTGTATAACTTATACTTCAAACTTCGTGTTCAAGGTAAAAATGAAGCCATTTCTGTTATTGACTAATTTTTAAGACTTAGCAACTTGTCTTTTGTTGTTAGAAGTCAGCTCCAGTTCGTATACAGCAGAATGACCCACTGCCTGGTGCTGCACCAACCTCAGAGTTGTTATGTTTGCGCTCATTGCTCTGTTCGAGCCCAAACATTTTTATTCATTCTTAATTTAGAAAACCAGTTTTCAACTGAAGATGCTTTTAACTTTGTAATTGCTTTTTTGTTTAGGCCTTATTTGCCACAGAGACTTTTGCTATGGGAATTAACATGCCAGCTAGGACTGTTTTATTTACAAATGCTCGAAAATTTGATGGGAAAGATTTCCGATGGGTAAGTAAATTATATGTGTAAGATGTAGAAATATTTTTATTTACCTAAGGTAAGTTAAGTTCATTTAATGAAAATATTTTAACACTTTATAATCAAGTTTTCATATAAAAATCTGAAATATATCAAATTTAGTTAAATCCTATTTAGAACTGTATTTGAAGGCTTGTATAGTGGTGTATACAAGGGGAAATTGGATGATTGTAGGAACCTGATTCTTGGACTACAGCATCCTTCATTAGCACCATCCTTGGGGATCAGGAAGATGGTTTGTCTACGTTGTTCATTGAATAGCCGGTTGGAAAGTAGAGGGAGAGTTACAGAATGAAGATAAAATAATGACTCTAAAATAATCCTGAGGATTACCCCATTTGTATTTTTATGTATTCTCATTTTAGCCAATCAGAGAACATCACTCAGGATTATATAAGTCACCCTTTCATAACTTTGAAGTGGCTACTATTTACCTCTTCACATCAAAACCGGTTTTATAGGGGAGGGGTCCTCACATTGCTAGTTATTCTTACAAAGGCCTGCTCAGAAAGTGCCCTGTAGTTGGCTGTTCTTTGCAATTTTAATACCTAAATGCTCAGGTTTTTGTACCTGAGCTAACAGAGTACAAGCAAGATTAGATTTTAAATCCTGCCATCTAATTGATTTCAGCTCAAGGTGACCCTTTAGTTGGCATCAACTCACTGGCATTGGATTGGGCTCATAGTCTAAGCTCAGTAGTCTTGTATTAGTTCCAGTACAAATTCTTCAGTATTTAGATGTGAAAATCTCGAAAGCTATTAAATCCCTTAAGTGTTCGCTCTGTGTGCTCCTCACTTGCCCACCTCTTGCTTCCCCATAAAAAGATGAAAAGAAGTTGACGGTGGACTAAGTGTGTAGTCATTCATGAATGCTTTATATCTAGAATTTTCTCTCAAGTTTAAGGGCTTTAAAACACCCCTGGTACCATGGCTGGCGTTCTAGCTCAATTAACTTTAATATTTAAAATAGAGAATTTCACAGCTTTGCATAAACCTCTTTCCTAAGGCAGGAAGAAAGACAGTTGGGAACATGGGTGAAACAGTGTACTGGGGTAAGATGTATGTCCTTACTCCAGAGGCAAGGAGCTCATTCTGAAAACAGTTCCCAAAGGGCAACTCTGGACCTAGAACTATGATTGATATTGGAGATACTAAAATTAAAATAATACCTATGGTATAGAACTTAGTAACAGGTGAAAATTGATAGTGACATAAGTAGAATAGTGCTATAGAATATTATATTTTAGGCGCAATGAGAAATATGCACAGAAAAGATAGAATATAAAGTACATGAGGGGAAAGGGTAGGCTTCATGGAGACACAGTCCCCCAAATTAATGACAGAGTAATTATTTGCCAGATAGGTAGTGGGGTGTTGTCCAGCATGAAAAGCAGGCAAATGAAGATGGATTCTAGTTCGGGTATCTGAGGAATAGTCTAGCATTTGAGAAAATTTCTAAACTAGTCAGCTATTATTTCACTTAACCTTTTATTCTTGAGAATGGTGACTTTTCTGCATAGAGAAGTTCCTGGCAGTAATTATCAGTCTTCACCTGAAAAGGTACAATGGTTGAATTGTAATGACAAAGTATTTTTCATGTATGGTATCTATTTTCAATTAGTGCATGTTGTAATTTTTTCCTCAGTCTTACCACATGTTCTCTGAATAAAACAATGTACAAGATGATGATTAAGAAGTTACTTTTTACTTTCTCTACCCGCTGGCATCTCCTTGTCATATGTCAGTAGTACATGGGCCCCAGGAGGAATATGACAGATAATAGAATTTAAGAAAGCAAACTTTTTTTGATGATTCAAGATCACTATTAGGAAATTTAGAAGTTGTGATAAGCACTAATATAATGATATCCTTGAACCCTGTTGAAGTTTTATTTATCTGGACTGCCTTTTTGAGATGTTCTGTTCTGATCTTTGCAGAGTTGCCTTTTTTTGTTTTTTCAAGTCCCCGATGGTGTGGTGGTTTACATTGGGCTGGCATGGTCGGCAGTTCGAAATAACCAGGGCTCTGATGGAGAAAGGCTGGGCTTTCTACTCCCCTCAACAGCTAGCATGTTGGAAACCCACGGGAGGTCCCTCTGAGTCAGCATGGACTATGGCAGCTAGTTTGGAGATTGGTTTTGGTGGCATAGGAGTTACAAGTTAGCTTGCTAAGCAATAAGGTCAGCAATTTAAAACCACCAGCCACTCCCCGGGAGAAAGACAGGCTTTCTACTCCTGTAAAGAGTTAGTGTTAGAAACTCACCGGGCAGTTTGACCCTGTCCTACTGGGTCGCCATGAGTCAGAATCGACTTGATGGCAGTGAGCTTTGTCTTGGATTTCCTTGCTCCTAGGTTGTTGGTTCTGTTTTTATGCTGTTTGTATGTATGCCCTCCCACATTGCATAGTGTTTTCTTAATTCCTCCTGAGTCACACATTTCTTTTGAGAATCTGAAACCACATGCACTGTGGGTTAGGTGTTGGGTTGCTGACCTCAAGGCTGTTAGTTAGTTCAAACCTACCAGCCACTCCATAAGAGAAAGATGAGGCTTTCTCCTTCCATAAATATTCACAATATTAGAAACTATGTAATGTGAACCAGAGCAGAGGTCTTTTTAATGTTCAGTCCCTATATGTGAGATTCTTAGCCCTTCTTTAGGAGGTGACTCTTAGTGAAAATGGGATTCTGCCAAACTCCAAGAACGTATATTGAGAAAATAGCGAAATGTATCTTTCTTTTAAAATTATATTGTTTTTAGATATTGTTATGTTTTAGAGTGCAAGTTTATTATGATAGAGTTAAAAATTAATATTTGTTAAATATAAGCCATTGTTTGCTTTCTTAGACTTGGTGGTTTTCAAGAATTTTTAGCTCAAAGATCTTTTCTATGTGAATTTGACAATTTTTTCTGTAGCTATAGAGTATTTAGGAGCACTGGTGGTATAGCCCAGCATTTCAAAACTACCAGCTACTTCTCAGGAAAAAGCAGAATCTTTCTACTCCTGTAAAGAGTTACAGTTTCAGAAACCCACAGAGGCAATTCTACTCTGTAATACAGGGTAGCTATAAGTCAGACTCAACCTGTTGACAATAAGTTTAGTTTTTGAGTTTATAATGTATTTGAATGCACACACTACCAGTAATTGGCCTCGTGTTAAATTTGTTATTTGGGAACTTACTATATCTTTTTATGAACTGATGTTAACGTATTTACATTTTAATGCTTTCACTTAGATACTGATTAATTTATGTTTATAATTCTTTTTCAGAATACATGAGTTTTTTTTGTTTATTTGTTTGTTTTACCACTTTCACCCCTAACATAAAATTTTAATTATATTCTTTCAGATTTCCTCTGGTGAATACATTCAAATGTCTGGTCGTGCCGGAAGGAGGGGAATGGATGACAGGGGAATTGTAATTCTTATGGTCGATGAAAAAATGAGCCCAACAATTGGAAAACAACTCCTTAAGGTTACTGAGCTAAGATTCAGTCCCTTCATCCACAACTCTAGAAACACATCTCAAAAAGGTCTTCAAAACAAGATTCTTAGAGAAGAAAGGAATTAAAAACAACTTTAGCCATTGAACTTTGTTAGCATAGTGGATTAAATGTTGGGGTTCTAATTAAAAGGTCAGCAGTTCGAAACCACCAGCCACTCCACAGGATAAAGATGAGGATTTCTATTCCAGTAAAAATTAGCCTCAGATACTCACAGGGGCATTTTGCTCTCTCCCTGTTTCACTATTTCTCCCAACTTACTTAGCATTCTGGTGTCAGACTCATTTTCCTAAATATAACTTTACAATTATATATTACTCTACACGGTACTCTAAACGACAACATGTCTTTTTAGCTGAGCATATTTGGCTGACAGTACTTTAACTACTAGTGTCCTGTTTAATGATTTAGTGTTTATGTTCCTAAAGATCAACTGATTTCTCAGTTTTTACTAAATTATTTACTACACTGAATTATCATGTAATATAACAGGTTAAAATATTTGTATAAATTTATTGGAAAATGTATGTTTTTTTCCTTAGGGTTCAGCTGATCCTCTAAATAGTGCTTTCCATTTGACCTATAACATGGTTTTAAACTTGCTACGTGTAGAAGAAATTAATCCTGAGTACATGTTGGAAAAGTCTTTCTACCAGTTTCAGCACTATAGAGCAATCCCAGGAGTAGTAGAGAGTAAGTATCAAATTGCCAAGCAGCACATAGATGCCATTGAGTCCGTTATAAATTAAGAAACCCTGTGTACAACAGAACAGAATGCTGCCCTGCCCTGCCCTGCTGCATCCTCACAGTCACTGCTAGGCGTGAACCCAGTGTTGAAACCACTGTGTCAGTTCATCTCTCTTTCATTGATTCTCCTGTACCAACCATGATATATATCCTTCTCCAGGGACTGTGCCCTCCTGATAATATGTCTAAAGTGAATGAGACGATTCATGCTCACTAGTAAGGAATATTCTGGCTGTACTTCTTTCATGACAGATTAGTTGTTCTCACAGCTCATAGTATTTAGGGTTTTTTTTTTGTTTTTTTGCTTATACCATTACAATAATTCTTCCTTATTCAGTTATCAGCTTTTGCATTCATATGAAGGAGTTGAAAGATCCATGGCTTGGGTCAGGGGCACCTCAGTCCTCAAAGTGACATCTTTGCTCTGTAGCACATTAAAGGGGTCTTTTGCAGCAGATGTGCCTGGCAAGACATCGTTTGATTTTGTAACTGTGGCTTCCATGAGCACTAATTCTGAATCCAAGCAAAATGAAATTCTTTAAGACTCATTTTGTATTTTGGTGAGGGTTACAGGATAATTGATATTTCCATCCAGCAATTCATACACATTGTTTCATGACGTCGGTTTCAATCACTTCCTCCCTGTGTTTATCTTTTCTGTTTGCCTTTTCTATGTCTTCCTGTCTTCTGAACCTTATTCCTGGGCAAATGCTGTCCTTTAAATCTCATTTGGTTGATGATTCTAAGGATTGCTCACCTCTTTGGTGTCAAATTGAATGAATGTTGATCCCCATAGAAGAGTTGGGTTCCAGGCTTGAAGAGTATCCAGGGGCCATAGTCTCAGAAAAAAGTGTAATTCTTGACAACTTCGATATACAATGTGTTTATTATGCCATTTTTCATTGGCCCAGTTGTGAGGATTTTTGTTTTCTTTATGTTGTGGTATAATCCATTTTGAGGGCATCAGCCTCTCATCTCCATCAGTAAATGTATGGAGTCTTGTTCTGTTCGCTTTCAGCAAGGATGGCTGTGCCACCTACACTACTGCTTCCCATTCTGCTGCTGCACTTTTCTTTTAAAAGAATTTCTCATAGTTAAACTGACATATAATGCACATATCATAGTGTTAAGTAGTTTAAACATATTAAAAAGAGTTGTGCAATCATTACTACGATCAATTTTAGCACATTTTTTTCATTCTTGTACTCATTACTAGCTCTCTGTTTCCTCCTAACCACCCTCTGCTGTAACCCAAAGGAAGTGTTAATCCAGATACTGTCTTTATAGATTTGCCTATCTTGGATTCCATAGAAAGAAAAACATTTTAAAAAAAGTGACAATAACGAAATAGAACATAGAAAAACCTTAGTTGAAAAAAATCACAGAAAAGAATAAAAACTAGAACAAATTTTAAATGGATCAAAAGGGAGTACAAAAGGTAAGGTGCTAAATTGTAACCTAACGATGTTGGCATTAGAATGCTTTCCAGTGCATTCTGTCTAACAAGGCTATTCCCATCCCTAGTCAATGGTCAGATGGGATTCACAAGAAGCTTAATCCGCCTGGGGACTCTGCAAATAAATGTTCAGCTTGCACTTTCATCCATAGCCTTTTGCAAACTGGGTGCTCAGAATCTGAAGTTCTAGAACCATTTCTTCTTCCAGTCTTGGATTTTATTATTTACAATCTTTGTATCACACCGGCTGGTGTGTTTCTTCCATGTGACTAATTGTCACCTTACTTAAATAGCTGCTGGTTCTAAGACAAGCCATTAAGACCCTAGAAACTATTCTTTCTGATAACTGGGCTCTATCTGTTTTCTGTACCACACTTTGTTTTAGTGCCTATATCTTCAGTGGTCTCTTCATGAGGACAAGTATTGCATAGGACCACATCATAAGAACTGGTTGGTCTTGCAATAAGACTACAGTTAAATTCAAGCCCAATCTGTTCATGTGACTATGTTTTATATATGTCCATGTTCCACTTTAAAGACATCATGATTACATCATCATTATTTTATTGGGGAACATTATATATCATCCCTAAAGGGCATACGGTAATCTTATTGATAGTATCATTAGTTTATCCAATGTTACAGAATTTCAAGTGTTTAGAAAAGGCAAGTAAATATGTAGAGGACAGTATTTTAGACCAAAATACATGGATTGTTGACCTGCACAGATAAAAATCTCCAGTGACTGGAGAGTATGCAGACGACTCACTCACTCACAACAGCAGAACTGTGCCTACTAGACTAAGACCCGGGCATCAGAAAGCCAAGACAGCATGCACATCTAAAGCTGCACTCTGACTAAAATGAAATAACATACGTTCGTGGTGTACTTTTAATGGACTTTCTCAAGGTATAATTAACTATTTTAGAGGTTCATTTATTTATAGTCTTTTCTATTATGTTAAGCCAATATTCTTTGTATTATAAATATACAAGATGCATAGAATATGTTACTACAAAATCATGTTAGATGCCCCTGAGCTGGCTCAGATTCTTAGCCACCCCGTGTACAAAGGACGAAACACTTCCCACTCACTATCCTCACACTTGTTCCTGTTTGAGCCCTTGCAATCATGGTCAAGCTGTCTCACTGAGGGCTTTTTTTGAAGATTTTTTTTTTTCACAGTCTGTGGATTGCTTGTTTATTCTTTTTTAAAAATCATTGTATTGGGGGCTCGTAGAACTCTTATCACAATCCATATATATATCCATTGTGTCAAACACATTTGTACATTTGTTGCCTTCATCATTCCTGTTAATTCTTTTGACAGTTTCAGAGACCTAATCCCAGGTGGAGGTGATAGCCTGATAAGAGTTTGGTGGCCTATGACTTTAAAGGTCTCAAACAGTGCTGTCAAGTATGTATCGCTTTCTGTGGTACTAGATGTGTTTTTGTGCCAGTTATCCAGTATAGCACATGTGGCTGTAGAGTGTTTGAAATCTGGCTAATGCAACTACATTTGAAATGTTTTGGTTTTGTTTAATTTACAATAAAATGGCTACATCGCTGAAGGACGTCTCCAAACTTTGATTGTTATTGATATAAACTCTTAATTGTAGGAAGGATACAGATATATTTTGGATGTGATTTGTGCGAAGTGTATAGTTTTTGACATGGTTCACCGGTTTATTTGCAGAGGTAAAGAAGTCAGAAGAACAGTATAATAAAATAGTAATTCCCAATGAAGAAAGTGTAGTCATCTATTATAAGATTAGACAACAACTTGTCAAATTGGGCAAAGAAATTGAAGAATATATTCACAAACCAAAATACTGTTTGCCATTTCTACAACCAGGTCGTCTGGTAAAGGTATGTAATAATTTTTTCACAATATATTTAAATACTTTTCATAAAAATCGTAATATTTTTTTCAGGTTATACTAACTATATTTCTTGTTTCACTTGGCATCAATTCAGGGTCTTTAGTGAAGGCTGTGTAATCACTGCATGTGTTCATTCTCTGGAATATAAGTTGAAGTGGACAGTTTTGTAATGAGCATAGAGAATATTTTAATTTATGAAAGGTTATTTTTAAATGAGGCAGTTTTAAATTTTAGGTGAAAAGTAACTTGATGTAAGATACTTGGATATTCTCAGAACATTGAAGAAAATCTGCCTTGTTTTTCCAGCATTATTTGCCAATTGAGAGATTCCATTTATTTCTGTTCTGTTGGCCTACTACGAAACTGTGCCCCTACCCAAAGTATTAAGATCTCGTACTTTAATTTTAGCTGAAATCTTTTGATATGAGTAACTTAAACTTTTCTTAGTCTCTAATGTAGGCATGGTAAGTAGATAATAAAAAATGTTATTATGATCTTGATTTGTTCCTTTTTAGGTAAAGAATGAAGGTGATGATTTTGGCTGGGGAGTAGTGGTGAATTTCTCAAAAAAGTCAAATGTTAAGGTAAACATTAATTAGAATTACATATATAAAATTTTAGTGCAAATTTTTTCCAACTCATGAAATTGGCCTAAGTGAAAATAATAGTAGTACTATGTGAAATTAATTTTTAAAATAATCTTCAATGTTGTTCTTATAATGGCATCATTATTTTCTCAGCAGCCCCCAAAATTTATTTTACTTTTTTCTTTGACTTCATCAATCCTTTATATAACTTTGATGTTTAAATTGAATGTGAGAAAGATACTGTTCTGCACTGAAAATTACAAATTTGACTCTGGCGTAAGAAATTTGGCAAGTTGGTTAATTTTATTTATTCTCTAAATCAGTGATCCTCAATCTATGGCCCGCGGGCCACATGCGGCCCACCGAGGACATTTATCCGGCCCGCCGGGTGTTTTTGCCCCAAAATAAGATATGTGCAGTGTGAATAGGAATTTGTTCATAGTGTTTTTTTAAACTATAGTCTGGCCCTCCAACGTCTGTTTAAAAAGTTTGAGGACCCCTGCTCTAAATCATTGGTTCCCAAACTTACTTGGCCTGCTGTCCCCTTTTCAGAAAGAAAATTACTCAGTCCTTCCCCACAGGCAATTGAAAACTTTTATCCTATAGTCTACCATCCAGGATAAAGTGTAGGTATCTGCTTTCCAGTCCCCTGGATTGTGCTAGCACTGCCCAGGGGTAGTAGCACCCATTTTGGAAAAAACTGTTCTATATCCTACCAATAATAAAGTTGATTGACATCATTATGTTGATATTTTAGAAACAAGATGGCTCATACATAAAAACAATGTTTTGCCTATCACTTGCTGCCATTGAATTGATTACAACCTATAGTGACCCTGTAGGACAGAGTAGAACTGCCCCTTTGGGTTTCCAAGGCTGTAAATCTTCACTAGCGCAGAAAGCTTCATCTCTTCTTCAGATTGGTTGGTGGGTTCAAACTGCTGACCTTTTAGTTAGCAGCCCAACTCAACCAGCTGCAGCACCAGGGCTCCAACTGGGTTTATAAATAAACAAAACACCTCCACCTTATTGCCATTAAATCGATTCTAACTCCTAATGACTCTATAAGGTTTCCAATGCTGTAAATTTTTAGGGGAGCAATATCTTCTGCTTTTCTCCTCAGAGTAGCTAGTGAGTTTGAACCTCCAACCTTGTGGTTAGTAGTCCAATATTTAACTGACAGCCCCACCAGGGCTGCCACTTGGGTTTATAGGAGCAAGTAATGTAGAAATTGGATTTCTAAAATGATGAGAGATAAAGGCATGAAGTGACTGACTTACACATTTTTCATGGGTATGATTCATGAGTATTTCAGAATGATGGAGATAAGAATTCCCACTAACTACTTTTTTTCTCCTGGGAAGGACAGATGAAGGAAGATGCTGATAGGGCTTATATGATTCAGTTGTGAGTGATTGTTTTGTTTTGTTTTTTGAGAAAGTGAGTAATTGTTGACAGTATTGATTGTGATTGTAAAAACTAAATGTAAAAGACAGAACTGAAAAGCTGGGGGCAGTTGACCCTTCATTATGACTGGGACAATGGCTAGACAATCCAGGGTGTGGCTTGTGGATCCTTGCTCTTCAAGCCATACTCTTCGTAACTCCCACAAAATGACTGGTGAGGTCAAGCAAACAGGGTACTGTATATAGGATTCTTAACAGGAGGTTTGGTCAATTTTACTATCTCACTGGTTCGAAATGAGCTATTCTACTATTAAGAAGAAAAGGGGCAGGATTGGAGCGTGTCCTTTGGATGCCAAGATCCTTGCATCTAACCTTTTCTTTCCAGGAGAGCTATGACAAGGGAAAAGCAGTGCTAAAGTGGTAGAGAAGTGGAGGCAGCAGAACCGAGAGCAAGAGACTTGCAGAGCAGTGGGTGTCTTTGCTTATGGAGCTAGTCAAGCTGAGTGCTTTGGGGCACTCATTTGTGGAGTGATGTACCTCCGGCCACTTATTTAGGGAAGCCAGGCTGAACTATAGAGCTAGAACCAAGTACCTATGGACTAAAGTTATGACAGCGTGGCAGCTTTGGGCTGCAATATTTTTCTCTCTCACCCAAGCATGGCAGAGGCCATATGGATGATGGATCTAGGGGTAGAGAGAGGCCTGTTGCGGGCACAGCTGAGAAAAGGTGCGCTTAACCTGAGAGCTGTTGTATCCTGAGTCATTTCTGATCTTTAATTGTAACCTGTTGAACAGAAAACCCGAACTCACTACCACTGAGTCCAATCCAACTCAGAACCCACTAGCCTGCCTGGGAGTAAGACAAGACTGTCTACTCCGGTAAAGATTTGAACATCTCATAAACCCAAAGTGGCAGTTCTGTTCTGTTCTGTAAGGTCGCTATGAGTTAGATGTAACCTGCTAACTTCCCTGGTAGACCCCGTAATTGTGAGCATGCCTTTGAGTTCTGTGTGGCATTGCATTGCATTAGAGGATTCAGCAGAGAAGTCGAGTATGCCATGTTGGAAAGTTGGTTGTTGTTAGGAATCGGCCTTCGGCTAATACATATGGTTGTACACAGTCCCTATGCCATTTTTACAAATGGCAAGCAGATCATGAAAAAATGAGACAGAATGTGATATTCTAGTAACGATGTAGTCAAAATGTATTTAGAACATAGAGGAAGTAGAAAATATCAATTACTGAATTTAGCATCTTAGGAGAAAGTGAATTAAAATTTTTAAACAAGACCTTGAAGAATACATTGAATTTCATTTGCTGGATATTTGCTTGTGAAGAGGCAATGCTATACAGCAACCATGGGACATTTGGGGTGCAGGAAAAGGAATTATATCATAAAACATTGGAAATAATTGTAGAAAATGGGTTAAAATACAAATTTCAAATACATTTAGGTTAGAACTAAACATTTGAAAGTATCGACCCATTGAAATCTAGTTGGTTGACTGTGGTTTTTTGTGTGTATATTTAACCCTCTCAGAGCTTTTAATTATTCTCTGACTGAAGGATACTGGAAAGAAATAATTTTATAAGGACAGGGAGGTTAATTGAGGCCACTCATATTGTTGTTTGGTTAAGACCTAGAATGAGGTAGGGGTGACAGAAGGGTTCTTATGAAGGACACTAAGGAACTAAAGTTGACAGCTCTTGTGTGGGAGATTAAAGGGAATAAGAAATTCTTGATAATGATTCAGGTTTTGATATATGATAAGATGCCCTATTGATGCAAACAGTGCTAAACCAGAAGGACATTTTTTGTTTTGATTCAATTTTTCCTCCTTAAAACATACCCAGGAAGTTTGGAATGTTTAAACTTGACCATGATTGCTTATATTTTATTCATTTGAACTATGACTAGTACTCAGATCTAACAGTAGGATTTGGGATTTTTTTTAGGATTTTTTATATTTCCTTTTTTTTTTATTGGGATGTGGGTGATTTGTATTTCCTTCTTTATTTATTTAGATAAACGTATATATTTTTTTACTTTATTGGGGGCTCTTATAATAATTCATACATCAGTTGTATCAAGCATATTTGTGCATATGTTGCCATCATTCTTTTCTAAACATTTACCTTCTATTGAGTCCTTGGTATCAGCCCCCCCCCCCCATTACCCCTTGATAAATTATTATTTTCATATCTTACACCAACCTCTGTTTCCCTTTCCCCATGGTTTCTGTTATTCGTCCCCCTGGAGGGATGTGTGTGGTTAGGTGTCGATCATTGCTATTGGTTCCCCCTTCCTCCCCTCTGCTCTCCACCTTCCCGCTGCCCTATTCCCATCCTTGTTCCTGAACTCCATGTGTGGTGCGCTCATTTCTCTTATCTGTACTTTGTGCCTGCTCCAGTTTAGACCGAAGTGAGAGGCAGCAATGGGGTCATGACTGTGAGGGGTGAGAAAGCCTCAAGGAACCAGAGGAATTTTGTATGTTTCATCCGTGCTTTACTGTGCCCTGCTTGACTCATCCCTTCCCTGTGATTTTAATACTTTCTTGTGCATAATCTTCATCCATGAGAATACTATTAAATGCCCACATGTATCATTTTCTTTACCCCTAATTGGGATTAATGAAGGTCTGATCTTCCTGTAGGAATTGAGTTAACTTGAAAGGATAGTCTTTATTTGAGTTTCTCTGAAAACTGTTAATTTCTACTTTGTGAAAAGGAAAGTTTGGCAGTCTGTACTAAATGTTTGGTTTCATCCAAAATGATGCAACCTTTAAAGACCTTTGTAAGTTTCCTAGTTTACTAGCATATTTCCTAATAAACGAGCTTATAGAATATCTGAATTCCAAGAAAGACAACAATGTCTTGTGCTTCTAACATTTTGCCTTCTCTACTGAATGTAAGTGACTTGCTTCACTTACTAAATTATTCCATACAAAAAGTGTGATTTTTAGCAATGCATCCCTTTTTAACAAATGTGACATTGCATTGAAACAATTTGGAAACCTTTGGAAAATGCTATAAAGGAGTTTGTTGCCATAAATTATGCATTTATGGTTCAGTAGTAGAATTCTCTTCCCTGCAGGGAGATCTGGACTCAGTTCTGCCCAGTGCATCTTGTGCTCAGCCACCACCATCTTTCTGTTTTAGGGGGTTTGCATGTTGCCTTGATGCTGGCTAGGTTTTGATGGATCTTCTGACTTAGATTAGGAAGAAAGAGCTAAGTTTTCTGAGTGACACTTCTACCCTGTTTCCTCGAAAATAAGACAGTGTCTTGGATTTTTGCTCCCAAAGATGCGCTAGGTCTTAATTTCAAGGGTTGTCTTATTTTTCCATGAAGAAGAATAAGGTACACATTTATTGTTGAAACCCCAAAAAAGGAAATTTATTACCTGTATACAGTACGGTAGTAGTTGTCATCACAAACCAGCATAACCAGACAAACTGTGAATCCTACAGTATCAAGAATTTCTTGTTACTACCATTATTTCCATGTACAACAATCTATGGTACATTTACTCATAATCTATGGTACATTTACTCGCACTTTCTGTTCCGGCGGTCCAGAGTCCAGAGTTACGGTAGCATTGGGGGGCCTTATTATTGGGGAAGTCTTATTTTCGGGGTCATGCCTTATATTTCAGTGAGAGGCAAAACTGTAAGTAGGTCTTATTTTCGGGGGATGTCTTACTTTCAGGGAAACACGGTATCTGCTCTTGGATTGAGTACTAGGTATAGGATGGATGCTGTAATAGCTTCAAGTCTTTATGCTCTGCCCCTCCCAGTGTGAAACCACAGCCTTATAAGCAGGGTAAGGTTTATCTGGGCCCTGGTCTTTTCAGCAGCACTGTATCGAAATAGAGGCTGAACAGAAAAGGAATTTGCCACATTCTTCCTCGCCTTCCCAAGGATAGCCTCAGCAATAAGTTTTTGAAAGAGGCCTAAGAAATGCTGTGTTCCCTCTTGGGGACATACCTAGCCATCTAGCTGGGCCCTATGAGGAGAGGAGAGGGAACCCTGCATTTTTGGCTTTACTAGTCTGGAGTAGAATTTCTGTGTTGCTTGAGATGAAAATAGGCAGGCAGTGGTATCCGTTCACAGAGCATAGACTCCTACTGTTCTTACTGAATTTTAATAGACTGTGTTTGCTAGATCTTTTATTTACTGTATGCCCTTAGGACCATTTCAAGAGAATTACGTTTCTGTTTTGTTTTTGTAGTTTTCTCCAGTGTAGCTGGAGAGTCAGGGCCACAGAGCAGGTCTACAGAGCTCCTCATGCTGTTATACTGAAAGTCAGTCAGTTTTGGCATTTTTTGGAAAGAAAAATTATAGCTAGCATAATGTCATAAACAGGTAGAAAGAAAGAAGACAGATATTTCTGTGGATAGTCTTTAAAATTATTTGCTTGGATTTATGTGTAATCTTATGTATATACAGAGGTGGGGTGGGGCGTAGAAACGTATTAATATTTTTCTTGTTTAAATTAATGGTATAAGTCATATTTTCCAAAGAGCTGCTTACATTTTTCTGTTCATAAAGAACGTGAAGTTCATTTTTACAGATTTTGGAATCCAGGTCAGAGTACTGATCCAAAGATTTTTGTGGCCAGTAGAGTTCGCCAGAAGCAGAAGGAGAATACAGACAGAAGAAAATAGTTTAAGATATTTTGGAGAAAAACATTTTCACTGTATATATTTATTTTGTACTGTTTATTTTATATTCTTGAGAATGTAAACAATGTTTTAATTTGATATATTCAGTGTTTGGTAGGTCATTAGCCATATTTTTAAAGGAGCAAAGAGATGGAAGAGAAAATATAAAATTATGTGCTTCAGAGCTTAAAAATTAGGACCAACAGGCAAAAAAAAAAAAAATTTAATGTAGTCTAAGACAGTCAGTGGAAGGCCAACTAGAACACTTAATAATTATTTCTAGTATGTGAAAAGTCACTTTGTTGACCACGTTTTACAGAGTACAGAACTAGAAGAACTGAGAATTTTTTTATATTAAGAAATAGTTTCAACAGCAATTTTTCATATAATGCTAGAATAAGGAAGGCTTTCAAATGTGTTTTCCTAGAAATATTTGAGGATATTTCAGTAATGTTGGTTTTCTGTTACTGTATGAAAGACTGTTCTCATATGTAGAGGGCACGCTTAGTTCTTAGAGCTTTTGAAAATCATGGTTTTATTAGAGATGCTAAAGTATAATACAGAAGCGCTAGTAAACTGAAGAATAATATAAATCTGTGTATATTTGTCATATATAATTACAGTGATCTAAAGATATAAATTCATTTCTGGTGTGATCATTTTGTTTCTCAAACTTTGGTGTAATATTAAACAATTGTGTATTAATCATTAGAAACTAAGTATCATTTTATGTCACAGTTGCCAAGATTTCTTAATGGTCACACCATTAAACTTTGGAGTATGTTGAAGGATGCAGAGACCATCTTTATAGTATGTAATATATGTTACTGCACATTAGGTGGCAGACATAATGCTCAATGCTGAATCTCTGTATACTTAAAAGTGTATGGGGCTAATTTTTAGAAATGTACTAACTTCCTGCTTTTATTTTCATAGCCTAACTCTGGTGAACTGGATCCTTTATATGTAGTGGAAGTACTTCTGCGCTGTAGCAAAGAGAGCTTGAAGAATTCTGCTACTGAGGCTGCAAAACCAGCTAAACACAGTGAGAAAGGAGAGATTCAGGTTTATACTTTAATTTTCATCCCATCATATTTCAGCTGTTTTGTAGATTATTTATAATTACTGACCTGCCTGCAGTTTGATTATAATGAATATACTTGCATCATTTCTAAATTGGACATTTGCAAGGTATTTTATGAGGAGCAGTCATAGATTGCATTTTTTCCTCAGAAACCATGTGCTGAAAACTTAAACCCTGAGACTAACTAGACTCCTGTGTGAATATGTTTTTGTTGTTATGTTCTTGAGGTCGTACCAGTGTAGGGTGGATCCTAAACCTAATTACTCTTGCGTTTAGGAAAGACAAGAATAGACACAGATGCATACAGGGATTAGACAGAGGTCAAGGAATTGCTGGTACTATTGGCAATGAAGGACCTTCCTCTAGAGCAGCAGATCTTAACCTGTGGGTCACGACCCCTTTCACAGGAGTCACCCGATTCATAACAGTAGCAAAATGACAGTTATGAAGTAGCAATGAAAATAATTTTGTGATTGGAGGGGTTCATCACAACATGAAGAATCGTATTAAAGGGTCGTGACATTAGGAAGGTGGAGAACCACTGCTCTAGAGTTATGCCTTGAGTTGGAACTTCTCCCTACCTGAACTGTGAGAAATACACTCCTCTATTGTTTAAAGCCACCACTTTTATTTTTTGTTACAGCACCACAAAGTAACTGAGATAAAGACTTTGAAAATATCAGTAGGATGTCTAATATCATTTTGGTATACTTCTATCAAATTATGACAAGGAAAAATGGCAATAACTTAATGTGAAAGATTATATTTAAACATTATTGTGAAGGGCTGTGGTAGCACTGTTGGATAAGCATTGGCCCGCTAATCCCAAGGCTGGCAGTTCAAATCCACCAGCCACTCTGTGGGAGAGGCTGTTTGTTCCCCCAAAGATTACAGCCTTGGAAACCCTGTGTAGGATCACCATGAAGCCTTGGTGGATAGTGGTTGCTCGTTGATCTGCGATCCATATGGTCAGCAGTTCAAACCCACCAATATCTCTGAGGGAGAAAGACTGGCTTTCTACTCCCATAAACAGTGGTATAACTCCGAAACCCACAGGGGCCACTCACTGTGGGTCAGCATGGACTTGATGGCAGTGAAGTAAATGAGTCTCAGTTGATTTGATGGCCTTAGGTTTGGCCCTTGTGAATTGGGGTGACAGTTTACCAAGAAGATCATCAGGTTTATATTCAACGATTCATAAACACTTTGTTTCACCTCATTCATTACAAACCCCATATTTAATACCATTTATTCTAATTCCTTCCTCTAATTCCTTGCTGTTTCCTTTCCTCCTTCTTTTCTAATGCTTCTGAATTTGGGTGAATGCTCTAGTTTGATCTCCATTGGCTTATTCTAAAATATGCATACCTCCCTAGTGTTACTGTGCCCCTTGTAGATGTGTCTGTTACTTGGCTGAAACTTGAGCCACAAGAGTGAGTTTAATTCCAGACATGAAGGGTGAGTAAGGAGCACATCACGAGGGTTCCACCAGTCTCTTGAGCCAGTGAGCTTGATCTAGGAAAAAGACAGTTTAATTACATTTCGTAGAGGTATAAAGATATTTTAATATTTTTATGGTAAATTATTTGAATCCATTCTTACGGTTTATTTCATTCATGTAACTAATGATTAAAACATTTGAGTTATTTAAGTTTTGTGTTCTTTAGATTAAACCATTTACTTTGTATGTGCTTTTACTTAAATGCAAAAAGCATTTGCTGTAGGAGATAGACATAATTCTTGAATTTCATATGATTTTTAGTCATTAATTGCCATTGAGTCAGCTCCAAACTATGGTGACCTTACATGTAACAGAAAAGAGCATTGATCAGGTCTCTTCCATTTCATGATTGTTGCTGTGTTTGAGCTCTTGTGGTGTCTATTGTGTCATGCTTATCACTAAGGATTTCCCTAGTTCACTCCAACCCTCCACTTTCTTTACCAAAGTAAAGTAAGCCAACTAAAGTCGCACTAGCCTCACTTCTACATAGCATTCCAGGTGTATTTCTTCTGAGAGTGATTTATTTGTTCATTCTTCTGGCAGTCGAAAGTATTTCAATATTCATCAAGATCATATTGATTCTTTTTCTATTTTCCTTTTTCACTCTCCAGCTTTTGTGTGCATGAGGTGAATCAGGTGAACCTGAGTCAGTCCAGGGACTCTTTGCTTTCGAAAACTTAAGAGAGATCTTAGTAGCATATTAGCCAGCAAAATACAGCATTTGTTTTTTTTGACTGTTGTTTCCATAGACATTGAATGTATAATAGTATAAATAAAAATAGCTGTAGATAAAACCCTGTTGCAGATATTTTTATTATTTATGGAATGTCTTATGCTAAAATGAAAAGTTTTTATACTCTGTAAATCTTATACTAAAAATTTAAAACATTAGTGTAAATGGATAGCCTGTTGACTAGGCCTTTTTGGACCAGTCATTGTATTGCTGTATGGTGTGCTAGTTAGGGTGGATGGAAAGACAAATCTGCAGAAGCATCATAGGCTGCTGCTTTCAGTCACTAAGGGACAGAGGAATTAGGGTGTAAACACTTTAAAGTTTTCCAAATCGCATAGCTTTTGATTTCTGCTCTTCCATCTTCCAATGTCTTATCCTCCAGAATTCTACCACCAAATTAAATTTGTCTGATTTTCCCCCCAAACATTATTTAACAGATTGTGTGCTTAACTGTAAATGATACCAAAACTCCCTCTACTTGGGCATATAATCATTGTTACCCAAATGGACCTTAAAAGTTACTATAATTTGGAGTGGCAAGTAGATGATGAATACAACACAATCTTCTCCCTTACACATGGTGACATTGATAATGAATCTTGGTCTTTTTTTTTTTTTTAAATAATCATTTTATTAGGGACTCATACAACTCATCACATTCTGCACATACGTCATGTGTCCAGCACTTTAGTATATATGTTGACTTCATCATTCTTATGACACCCACTTTCCAGTTGAGCCCCTGGTGTCAGCTCATTTTTCCCCCTCCCTTCCCACTCCCCCCTCCTCCCGAACCCCCAATAATTGATAATTTATTATTATTTTATCATATCATCCCATCCCACGCCTCCCTCACCCACTTCTCCGCTGTCTGTCCCCCAGGGAGGAGGCCACATGTAGACCTTGTCCTCTGTTCCCCCTTTCTCCCTCTCTTTCCTTCCACCCTCCCGCCATCGCCACTCTCTCCACTGGTCCTGGGGGGGTTCATCTGTCCTGGGTTCACTGTATTTCCAGTTCCTATCTGTGCCTGTGCACCTCCTCCGGTCCAGCCGGATATGTAAGGTAGAATTGGGATCATGGTAGTGGGATGGAGGAAGCATTTAAGAATCAGAGGAAAATTGCATATTTCATCGTTACTACACAAATCTTGGTCTTCTTTCACCTAAAAGTGTAAGGCTTCTCTAAGAAACTGCTCCAGCAGCTATGACTGGTACATTGGAGTTCAGGTTTTAGGTGAAAGCTGCTTGTATGTGTCTGTTCTAGAGACAAGAATTAATAAGCAGAGTAGTTGAACCTCTTACTTATTCATACTGAGAAGTTTTGCGGTACTTATTAGTCATGATTTGACTCACTTCAACAAACAACTTCTTCAGGGAAGTCTTCCCTGATCCTTACCATTCTTGCTCCTAAAGCATTTTTTACTCAGCTTCTTGTAGCATGTATGATGCTAAGGAAATTAGGATAATAAGTTGTTAACATGAATATAAATTGTAAATACACATATATCCATGCGTATCTATATATACAAGGATAATTCAAAAAGTATTACTCAGAATTGTTGTTTATTAAACAAAAAAGATGTTAAGTTTTGAAGCTATTGTTTCTTTACTTACCCCTGTGAAGATCTATACACTTCTAAAGGCAGTGTTTCCATCTGTCTATATACTTCTGAAGTAATGTTTTCATTTCTCTAACCCTTCCCCAGAGAATTCTGCATTTTCTGATTTGCACCACACCAAAAAAAAGGGTGGGGGGAGTTTTGGCACTCTCGGTGTCATAGTTTGTGTGCCTTTTCAATGGTCTTTGAGTTTTGGAAACCAAGAGTTAGAAGGGGCAAGATCAAGGCCGCAGGGTAGATAGTGTAGAATGAATTCCTGTGACCATCTTTGAAGAATAAGCAGGAGCTTTGTTGTAATAGGAAAGAATTTCTCACTAATGCAGTTTTCCATTTTCTTAACCCTATAACGCCTGAATTTTTAATTTCAGGAAAAAATTTTGTTTTTATTCTTTACTTTCATAGTTATCAATATATATAACAACCAAAATATATTTTAAAAATATAAAATTTGCAATGTTTTTTAAATGTAACCAAAT